TATTATTATTGCTATTATTATTATTGTTATTACCACTGCTTTTAGTTATTACTATAGTTGTCATTAACACCAAGCATTTAATTCTAACCTGCATGAAAAATCCAGCGACCAGCGCTTTTCTAATATTGATATAATAGTCCTTGCTTTTAAAATCTGTGGATACTCGTTTCAGGCTAAATTTATCCATAATACGTGCGAGCTGTGTCCGTACGTTGTCCGCATTTTTCAAAGCTCGGTAATTTATGAAGTTGTCATAGCACCACTGCACTTCTTCGTGATCTGTAACAGTGCTGGGGCATTATACAAATTTAGCTGTAACAGTAACAACAAACTTTTTAGATTTTGATTTAGCTGTTCGTCACGCACAGCAACACTACCGCTGGTGGTGATATAATTACAACACAAACAATCCAACTTCCATCAAAAAGATCAGGACCAAGGCCGGTCTTGGCGCTGCGCATATTCTTGTACTAGGTAAATCAAAATATATGCATATTTTGCATAATTCGTTCCTCCTGAAGTTCGCTGAACGACAAATATTTTACGAGAAAATGAACGCACTTACTTTGCTTAAAAGCGTGGTAGACATTTAGCAGCGTCAAATGGTCACCATCGATGTGAGCAAATCGTGCTTTTGCTTCATCCGCTGCCTTCTTAGCTTCAGCTGGTCGCACAAAACACTGCGGCACTAAATACAACCACTTAGTATCACCTTTACAGAATGCATCCAGCACAATACCAGTGATAGACCCCCTGGCACTCCCCCGCCTCCCTCCTCCCTAGAATAACACAAGCAAGTGCCGAACTTCAAGCCCATTTGTTAATTTGAGGTGCCCACACCGTTTAAAAAAACCAACAGCTGAGCAAAGCAGCAAAATCCCCGTCCCCTTAAAATAATTTTTAATGCGCCATGCCTCCAATCAGTAAAGTGCCTCACCTCAATGTGATCTTGGCGCATCAATCCTGCATGTAATGGCAACACTCAACGCTCAACAAAGACAACCCAAAACGGTTAACCTCCCCTCCCCCCCCCCCCCCCCCCCCCCCCCCCCCCCCCCCCCCC